TCCGCAATGCTTTCTTTCCACCTTACGCTGAAGCTGGTGGCTGCAAGCGTGTTGCTACCACTCTCCATAGCCTGCGAAACACATGGTCATCCACAAGCGTTAAAAATGTGAGGCTCGTTGTTAATGCAATGTCCAACTACTACTCACGTACACATTAAAACATGCAATAATGCTCCAACGACAAGCAAAATGAAGGCATGAGAAAAACAAAACACACACTCACACACACACACACACACACACAAACAAACACACACACACACATACACACACACAAACGAATGCACGCGTGCAAACACACACAAACAAACACACACACACACATACACACACACACACGAACGCACGCGCGCAAACACACACAAACAAACACACACACACACACACGCACACACACATACACACACACACACATACACACACACGCACATGCACATACACACACGCACACATACATACACACACGCACACACACACAAACACACACAAACAAACACACACACACACACACATACATACACATACACACACATACATCCACACACACACACAAACAAACACACACACACACGCACACACACACACACACACACACGTACCCACACACACACACACATACACACGTACCTCTTGTAATGCAACCATCCGCTTTGGCCCATCCTCGCTCGGTGCCTCCGATGCCTGAAGCACGCGCAGCATGTGCATTCGCACATCGTGCTTCACAATTTGGGGGATTGGATCCCGCTTGTTGGTTGCACGGTACGCGCGCTTCACAAGGGGTTGGTGAAGGTACTCGTACATGTTGGCGCTATAATGCATCGGCACACCCGACCGAATGATGTCCTCCACCACGTGTGCCAGGGAGTGCACCTTGGTGATGTCGAACTCCGACTTCTGAAGGCCGGCGAACACTTCCTTCAAGAGCGGAATCAACCTGCAGGGAGAGAGTGGCTCGCATGTTGAAAGATGAACAAACACAAAACAATGCACGCATTACAAATTTTGGCACAAACACAACACAAGGACGCGCATGAAGAGTATTGTCTAAACAATGAAGAGAAGGGAATGCAAGGTGGGAAAAAATTACAATAAAATAAAACAACAACGACAACAACAACAACAACAACAACAACAACAACAACAACAACAACAACAACAACAACAACAACAACAACAACAACAACAACAACAACAACAACAACGACGACGACGACGACGACGACGACGACGGCGACGACGACGACGACGGCGACGACGACGACGACAACAACGACGACAACAACGACAACAACGACGACGACAACGACGACAACAACGACGACAACAACGACGACAAACTCCCAACGACGATTGAAGGAAACTTACCTCTTGATGGCCTCATCAAGCTCTTGCAGCGTCTTCGAGGTGTGATACCAACGCCGGGATGCAAGCATGTAACAATCGACGAATGCCGCAACCGCACCAACAACCGAGTTCGGCACCCCACAATTGGCGAGCACGATCGTGATCACTTGCATCACAGCGCGATGCTCAAACGCTTGAAACCGCGCAGCACCAGCAAAATAACCGCCCTTCTCGGAAGATGGAATACGGAAACCCGAAATCCGAGTGTCGGTGGCTATGCGCTGCAACTCGCAATCGAGTGAACGTAGGAACTCGCGGTCTCGTGCGTAGTACGCTCGAATGCATGATACAATGTGCAAGAAGACCCCGAGGTCCATTGCGTGCATCACCTCCACGAGTAAGGCACGATACGGATTGCCGACGAGGGTACGCCCGCCTCGGAAACCCCACAAGGCAACCTGCATGGAGGGGGGGGGGGGGGGGGGGGGAACATAGTTATCGCACAAGGTACTATATCCCGACCTAGAATCAAGATACAGTGACACGCAAACGCATGTTCGAAGTGGGAAGGCGTTTGGAATATAGAACCAGCGTACGCGCGCACACACACGGAAACACACCCAAGCATAAAAAGACACGCACGCAAGCCATACGTACCTTGATGGGATGAGTGCTGATTGCTTTTGATGCCTTGGTGCGCTCGGGCCCACTCGGCAACGCCAACAACGCTTCAACTTTATCGCTCTGGTCACCTTCCGTGCGATATTCCACCACCGCCTCCATGTTGCTAATGTTGTCACGCGTTACGAGACACCTGTGGCACGGGAACTGCGCTTTGTGACTTGCAAACGTCCCCGCCAGCTTGCACGCTTCCGGGTGATCGGCCACGTATGCGTAGACTGCGGGAAACACCACTTGCGTCCTCCCGAAAGGGTCTTCCGTTACAATGCCACTGGACAGAGAAAAGGGAATGAATAACATGGGAGACATACGATCATAGGGGTAGGGGATGCGCATGTGTACATGAGGAGAGCATGCAAGATCTCATGGTTGCGTTAAGAAAAAAGATGTGGAGCACAAACGCATACACCCAGCATCGGTGAAAAGAACTCACCCGCACACTCAAGAAACACTCACGCGTAAGATGCTTTCTTGAGTTCTTCAAGAACCACTTCCATAGCCAGTTGAAATACCTCCCGGTGAAGTCCCTTCCCCTCGTCCGTCCGCGAGTCCATGTTTGGAAGTGGCGGGAGCATAGCAACCATCCGATGCCCGTGCGTTTGCCAACGATTCTTGAGCGTGACGTTTCCGAGGGTGAAATACACCGGATGTCCCGTAACACGCCCGTCGTTGCTCAAGTTTGTCCCGTCGCTGTACAGAATGCACGCTGCGATTACGCCACCTCTCGGACATTCTTCTTGCAACTTAATCCATCCATCTCCCGTCTCGGGCCCCGCGTATATCCGGTGTTTCTTGTCGGACGTGTAGACCGCTGCAGGTTTGACCACAAAGCCGTCCGCGTTCGCGCCATCCAAATACATCGCCACCAAAGCCTCGACAATGGAGGTTACGTGCACTGTCACTTTCATGCCGTTGCTCAACTCCACCTCAACCGCTCTCCATTCCACCGTGCCCGTAGCATCCGTCAGTAACGACTTCTCGTACTTCGCCAAGCCTGCGCTGTTCTTGTATGTTGGCTTCATGTAACCAACCTCGTGCAACACACTCAGTAAGGTGTTAATATCAGTCGCCGACATCCCCATGCCTCCATTGAAACCCCGAATCGCCTTCGCCAAAGCCAGATCTGTGTCAAATGGGAGTTTATGTGGAGCAGGCTCTGTCCTAGCACTATCCGCGAACTCTATGTCGTCGTCGTCACCATCGCTATCGACCGACGCCGGAAACTCAAACGGGGGCGGGTTAACATCGGTTTGTGCAGAAGGTGCTCCACTAGCGGTCAAAGGCGGACCTGTTGCTGCACGTTGAGCTACTCGTGCACGCAGCAGCCGGTTCACGTCATTCGCACGTTGACGCTTCAACGCCTCTAGTATCCGTAGGTTCGCACTCTCTGAGGAAGGTAAACGCTTTCTGCATGACTGTTTGTGATTGATCATTCCCTGTCCAGTGTTGCAGACGAATCCACAGCGACATATAAAATCCATGATAAAGGTAGTGCATACACGGATGTTCAGCACCCTGTGGTGCAACTATAGGGAGAGAAATATAGAGATCCTACTTATGGTCACATACAAAAAAACAACACTAATTTATATGCAGGGTCTTGACAGTCGTATCCTGGACCTGCACACAGAGACCAGAAATGTCAAACGGCTAGGGGCAGCCAATTAAGACTGGAAACCGAAAAACGCTAAAGGAAAGAAACCATTTACCTATCCCATTGGTCCCTCAAGCCGCGGGATTTTCGCGCTCTATACACGGCGTCGGCACGCCGCGCATGCGCTGGTGTATCGTCGATGTCGAGTTTCTGCTTTGGCGAACCTAAAACTAAATTAAATCTAAAAAAGTCGTTCTAGTCGCGCCCAAAGATCTAACCCTAGGCTGGACGAGCACCCTTATTACATGCGAGGCGCGGCAAAGCATGCATCGCGAGGCGTCGTTTACATAAAAAAAAACAGCCGAAGTCGACTAAAAACGGGCGGTTCCAGCGGGATGGCGGGTTAAAGGGCGACGCCATGGCGGGCAACTAATGCCTGCTCTACGAGAAATACAAGCACTTCGAATGTGAGGGGGGAATGAAGGGGTTGGAGAGGAACGGCTACATGGTGCGTTCACCGCTTACAACTGCGCAAAAACCGTATGCACCACTGATAATTCCGTCACGCCTAACTGCCACGGCGACACTGCCAAATGTTACGTGCGGATGTCGCACGTAACAGGGTGTGCGACTCCGTCGAAATTTAGGTCCAGCAGGAACTTTCGCGCGCTGAAAAGAAGCCGTCCGAACGGCTTCGCGATTTGGCCGTTAGTATCAGTCGCTAACGGTAATCATTCTGGTAACCACTTGTGTCTACGCTTTATTTTTTCCTGTTTCAATGTCAACATGAAATTGCAGCCATGTGGTAACAAACTTAAGAAAACAGTTTATGTATAATTACGAATGCAATTGCAAACTTCTCCAATTATATTAATCAAAATAGGTTATAAAAAAGTGACCCTCTTTCGTATTCAATCTAAACACATAATCCCATTGCGGGAGAAAAACACAATTGGAGACCTAAATATTAGTTTCGCGCAAACATTATAAATAATGGTAATGTAATACAAAGCAAACATTGTAATGTAAATTTTCAAAATATTAGTTGCGCGCTGAGTTTTCTAAACCACAGCACCGTATTTCACCGCGCGGTGTCCATCGCTCCAACGAATTGCGTTTTGCGCTGATTGCCCGCAAACTGCTCCGTGACAACACGAACCGAAATTAGGGTAACTGCGGGTGATCATTGGCAGCTCGGAAACAGATGGCAATTTGAAAAAAACACCGCACGCAAACTGCAGGGACACAATATCGCCGGGCTAACCACCGGCTGTTTCCCAGCCCACACCAGCAAAGTTGCGATGCTCCCGCGAAATTCACGGACAGCGTAGGCGTATCTCGTAATCATACTCTCAAAAGGACGTACCCGTCGCATTTAGCCATGGCGGCAGCTGCGGTGCTGCCAGCACCCACGCAGTTCAAAGCTGCTCGAGCCGTGGTGGCGGTAATGGAAGCGTACCGCGACGCGCGTGTGCAGTTCGTCATGAAAGTCGGCGAACTCGCCGTCTCGCCTCAGGTGCGCCTTAGTCTCTGTCTGGTCTCAGTGTCTCTCAGCATCCAAGCTTCGATCTGCGAATTCATGGCGAATTCATGGTGGCGAATTCATGGCAAATTCATGGTGGCGAATTCATGGCGAATTCATGGCGAATTCATGGCGCTGCTGGATGAGGTTCCTTCGTTGCGATTCGCGAGCTCGCCAGCTCTATTGACTCCCAATGCGTTCCTCCCGCGTTTCTTCCCCCGCAGAACGCGGAGGCGCTGCTGTCGCTCGGCGCGCTGCAGCTGCTGCTGCCGCTCGCGCAGGACAGCATGGCGTCCGTGCGATCCGCTGCGACGCTGTCGCTGGGTCGCCTGGCGAATGTGTTGCACGCGTGGTCGCACCACCTCGTGCAGCGCAACGTGCTGCCGTCGCTCTGCAAGGCGCTCACGTCAGTCCTGCCTTTAAGTGCTTGAGTCATTTCTTACAAAGCCTTAACTGGTTCAATATCCATGACTTGCTAGCTTCCTGTCCCTTTTGAGCTCTAGCTTCAATATCCTCTAAAGTGGAGTGCGCTTTGTATGCAACGCACTCACATCAGTCCCTCCGCTTGCTTGTTATCCCTACATGCGAGGCAGATAGAGGCGATGCTGTCAACGCTGGGTGGCACAACACAGCTTCTGTGAGTGCGAGCTGGCACAGTCACCCGAGGAGCTGACGCAGCTTGACGCCATCATGCAGCGCCACACTGCAAGGACCCCCACATCACGCTCCCACCGCTGCTCCCCACCGAGTTTCTGCTAGCGCTGCCAGGTGCTGCCAGGTGCTGCCAGGTGCTGCCAGGTGCTGCCAGCTCTGTTGGTGCTGCTTGGTGCTGCCAGCTCTGTTGGTGCTGCCAGGTGCTGCCAGGTGCTGCCAGGTGCTGCTTGGTGCTGCCAGCTCTGTTGGTGCTGCTTGGTGCTGCTTGGTGCTGCCAGGTGCTGCCAGCTCTGTGTGGTGCTGCCAGGTGCTGCTTGGTGCTGCCTGCTGCCACTCAATCCCCCAACCAGAATAAAGCAGCTCTTATAATGAGCTCAAGTATGAGTCGGCTGTGAAGGCCACTCGATGAGCCCGTTGTGCCGCCTGCGCTACCCCAGCTGCAAAGCTGGGAGCGGTGGGGCGGTACGTGTACCAGCTTGTGAGTCGACTCAAAGGCGGTACGTGTACCGGCGCTTCCCCAACAACGAGGAGGCGGGCCGCGAGCAGGAGGCCAGAAGGTGCGCGCGCCCGTGTGTGTGCATGTGTGTGGGGGTGGCTCAAGGCGCGTGTGAGTGTGTGTGTGTGTGTGTGTGTGTGTGTGCGTGCGTGCGTGGGAGGGGGAGGGGAGGTATAAGCTGCACTGCTGTTACCCTGCCGTGCCCTCTGTGTCCGCTGCTGGATCGGTGTGTAGTGTTGGTCCAGGCGTGAAAAAACAGTGGCAGCACGGCTCCTCTGTTTCCTCCACCCCCTTGCTCCGTCCCTGCCCTCAATTCTCCCCTCCCCACCCACTCCCCTCCCTCCCTAACCTTTCTCTCCTTCACTCTTCGCCCTCCTTTCTCCTGTTTTGAGCCACCTCCACCAACCCTCCACCCCCGTGTGTGTGTGCATTGTTCCCCTCCCACCCCCCTGTGTGTGTGCATTGTTCCCCTCCCACGCACTCCTCCCCTCCCACGCACTGCTCCCCTCCCCTACAATCCCCTCGTCCCTGAACGTGCGAGGGCAGTCTCGCGGTGGAGAAGGCGGTGAGGGCGTGGCTCAAGGAGCGGCGTCTGGGCCGCACGCGCAGTTCCTAGGAGCGAGGGGTGTGTGCAGTGTGTGTGTGTGTGCGGGGGGGGTTTTGTGGGGGTGTGTGGTGGGTGTGGGCGGGGTGTGGTTGAGTGTGTGCATGTGCAGTGTGCGTCTGGTTGTTGTGTGTGTGAGTGAGGATGGGAGGCGATTAGGGCATGGCTCAAGGAGATATGGCTGGGTGCGGGAAGTGGGGATGGGATGGGAGTGAGATGGGCAAGTGGAAAGGGAGAGTGGAGTGTGTGGGGGTGGTAGAGTGGGAATTCAGGTTGGTAAGCTTGAGCAGCTGCCTCTGCTTCCATGTTTTTTTCACCGATGCACCTTTTTTCTCAAGTTTTTGTGCCGTACGCGTGCGTTCACACACTCCCCATACCTCCTGCTCATTTCCCAACCATCACACCTCCATCACCATCGCCCCACCATCACTCCATCCCAACTCGCTAATCCCCGATCCTTTCCACTTTCGTCCATTTCCCAGTGGTGGTGGCCCTCGCCTTTCTGGCAGCGTCATCACCAGACGCAGCGCTGGCAGTGGTGGTGGCATGGGGCGGCATATCCCCGCTGCAGGACCTCCTAGTGGAGGGCCATGCGCATGCCAATCTCAAAGGGGCGTACACGTGGGCCCTTTCACAAATGGCTTCCCATGGGTGAGGATGGATGGGGATGGGTGAGGATGGGTGAGGATGGGTGGGAACGGATGGGGGTGATGGGTCAGGATTGGTGGGGCTTCTGACATGATATCACCCACAGTCTGTTCATGCAACCCTCTTCCTTCTCTTGCACCACCTACCATCACTGTTGGGCTCTTTTGGTGGGAACTCTCCATCACTCCAGCACCTCGGTACACCCTTTTGCACCCCTCCTTAACCCCCCATGTGCCTTCTTCAACCTCTTCACACCCCCCTGTGTCCCCTTTCTGCTTCCCCTGTTTCCCCAGTGCACCCCCCTGCACCCCTCTGCACCCCTCACAGGACTGCGTCTGCCTCTCTACCATCGCCAGGCACTCTGAAGCCCTCGCCCTGGTAAGCACCGCTCCAAACCATCCCGAATAGTTCTGGATGGCTCTAAACCGTTACCCCTGGTGCCCGCCCACTCCCTGCACGCCCACACGATCCCCTATTCCCTCCCCGAGGCTCGAATGCTGAACCAACCAGCCCCTGTATCTGCAACTCTCATCTCCCTCCCTGCGGTCATGAGCAGTAGCAGGAAATAGTGGTGGCAAGTCAGGACCTACATGCTCATTCCCCGCTCCCAACCCACCCCCCTTCCGCTCACCCATTTCTCTCCCTTCTCTCCCTAGCACCCTTCAGCAAGTGTTGGACCAGCCCGGAGCATCTCGCCTGCCGCTCCGCCTGCACGACTCACGCGAATGAGCAGGAGCAGCAAGGGGGTGACGAGTCTGGGTCCTTAAATATATGCCAACCCTTTCTATTTTCCGCCTCCGCTCTTCCCCTTTTCCCCAACTCCCTGCCCACCCCCCCCCCCTTCCCCCTTTCTCTCTTTCCCCGCAGCAAGTGTTGGACCAACCCGGGGCATCTCATCTGCTGCTCTGCCTGCACGACTCATCAGCAGCAGCGGCAGTGAGGGAGGTATCGGCCTGCCGGCATATCCGCGCTGCAAGACCTGGTAGTGATGGGTGACGCACACGGCACCTGCAAAGGGGCGTGCACGTGGCACTCTCGCAAATAGCTTCCCACGGGTGAGGATGGGTGGCGATGGGTGGCGATGGGTGGATTGGTGGGGATGGGTAGGATGGGTGATGATGGGAGGGATGGGTAAGAATGGGGTGAGCACATGACTTAGGGATCACCTGACGTCAAGACAATTCGTCAGGTGATGTGCTCATAGCTGACACCTGCTCTTTCAATGCTCTCACTTCACCTCCTTGCATCCATGTTTCTGCTCATGCGTCCCCTCCCCAACACCCACTCCCAACCCTGGTGTGATCACCATTTCCCTCCTCTGCACCATGCTTGCTTCTTCCGACCTGCGCTGCAGCTGCCCTTCTCTTCTCTCTGCCCTCCTTTTCACCCTTCTACGCCCATCTTGACGACCCCATGTGCCTCTTCGCACACCTGCTTGTCTTTCTGCTTCCCCTGTTTTCCCACCCATCTGCACCCCTCTGCACCCCTCACAGGTCTGCGTCTGTCTCTCTACCATCGCCAGGCACTCTGAATCCCTCGCCCTGGTAAGCACTTCCCTAAACCATCCCAAACCGTCTAGAACCACTTAAAAAAACGCGCTTCGGAAGCCCTCAGGCTGACATGCGTGGTAAATCTCCCAAAAGAACATCTCCTCTCTTCACGGCATGGCCTCCTGTCCTCCCACACACTCCCCTCTTCCCTGCCTCCCCTATACATAGCAATCTTCGACGTCGGACCATCACGGAGCATCTCGCCTGCTGCTCCGTCTGACCGACATGCTCATGCCGCAGCACTTCACTCTCTCCCTATTACCCCGCAGCAAGTGTTGCACCAACCCGGACCATCCCGTTTGCTGCTGTGCCTGCACGACTCCTCGCCCTCCCTGTGGGCATCAGCAGCAGCGGCAGTGAGGTGAGGGAGGTGGCGAGGCAGGGACCGGCAGCAGCAGGCTGGCTGGTGGGCATGGGGGGCATTGGGCCTCTGCTGGATGATGTGAGCGCGTGGAGGGACGAGGGCGAGGGGGAGGGCGCCGGGGAGGGGAAGGGTGGAGGGGATGGGGAGGCAGTGACAGGGGCAAGGAGCTCTGCCCAGGTGTCAGGTCAGAGACTTGCGTTCCTTTCATGCTCTTCTTCTTCCTGCACTTTCTCAACTCTCTTGCCCATCCCCTTTCCCGCCCTTTGCGCTTTTCTTGTCCCCACGTCTTTGTGCTGTCCCAGGGATGCCAGGACAGCTGTCTTTCACGCCATCCCTTGTGTTCTTTGTTGAGGCATCTATTGCTTCTCAGCCCTCCGTGCATTTCCTCAGTCAGTCTCTCAAACAAAAAGTCATGTGCTCGCCCACTCTCTCACTCAAACGCACGCACCCGCCATACCTCCTCCTGCTTTCAAACTATCGCTGTCTTACCTCCATCTCCTCTCCCTCCCCTATTGTTTCCCCCCCCTTCCCCCCTCCAACCATTCTATCCCCCCTCCAACCATTCTATCCCCCATACAACCATTTCCCAGTGGTGGTGGCCCTCGGCTTCCTGGCAGCTTCCTCACCAGACCAGACGCAGCGCTGGCAGGGGTGGCATGGGGCGGCATATCCCCGCTGCGCTGCAGGACCTGGTAGTGATGTGATGGGTGATGCTCACGGCACCCTCACAGGGGCGTGCGAGTGGGCGCTCTCACGTGGGTAAGGATGTCTGGGAATGGGTGGGGTTGGGTGGGGATGGGTAAGCGTATGGCAGGGCGTGGACTCAGCTCAGGGCAGGAGGACGTTGACAGGGACCTGATGAGGCAATGGGGCACGTGGGTGCTTCAGCGCTGCACTTGCCTGCTTTGCCCCTTGAATCCGCTTCCTCCCCCCTTTCTCCCCCCGTCCTTCTCCCTTGCTTCCGCCACCCTTCCAGTTTCCCCCCCTGTGATGACGCTTTCCTTTCCCCTTCTCTCCACTCACGCCTTGTGCATCCTTATGCATTCCGCCTCGCATCATTCCGCCACGCATCATTCCGCCTCGCATCATTCCGCCACGCATCATCACACGCGCCGATCATCTTCGGTCTTACCCACTATAGCCACCCCCTTTCCCTTGCCCCCTCTCCCCGCTCTCCCTGTTCCCCACCTCCTCCTCGCGCCCTACCTCTCTCGCACGCATTTTCCCACAAACAGGCGCGGAACAATCGTGGGAGGACACACGGGTTAAGTGGCGAAGTGGGGAAGGGAGAAAGCGGGGAAGCAACAGCCGCTAGTTGCGGTGGCGCTGGTGGGGGTGCAGCGGAGGGGCGTTTCTCAAGGGGGGAGAGAGATGCTGGCTTAGGGGGACAGCAAGGTGAGCCTAGGGAGACAGAGAGGCGAACGGAGGGGGGAGAGATGCGAGTAGGGGAGGAGGGGAGAGAAAGGTTTGGGGGGCCCCGCGTGCGACAAGGCCTTCACGGTGGTGTTGTCGTTTGTCGAGTCAACCGTCACGTTCTTGCCCGTGCGACCTTCCCCTATGAATTCATGTGAGCAATATGGATTCGTGCGAGCAATAAAATTATGCTTATAGCATGCAAGCCTCATTTTCCTGCTCTGTGCCCCTTCAATCACTCCTCCCCATCACCAGTGACTCTGCTCCCATCCTAGATAAGGTATTTCGCCTTGTGTGCGCATCAGGCATGGTCCACCAGCAGCGGGCACCCATGGAGCGCATTCTAAGCACCCCAAGCAGGGCGAACCGACACATACCATCCAAACGTGCCTCGTGGTTGCCTCTGTACTGTACCTCACCTGTTATGAACCTGGCATTGAAGTGGCTTGAGGATCGGTGCACGAACCGTACCCCCCTTGAGGAAGTGTCTTGTTCACGAAACATCTACCTTATTATAGGCACGGTCAACCTGTGCTGCATCTGGCCCAGGAGAAAGTGTTGAATTAGTCCATTGCCCTACTTCGCCTCAACCCAACGAGCCTTGTGTTTTCCCGGCCACCAGCTGATTCCATCCATCGAATCTAAGTCACCAGATTTTGTTTGGCAGATGTGTGGGGGAGCTTCCTGCTCCACTGCCTGCATGAGGATTGATTATGGTTTCTTTGAGCACTATGGATGGATTAACCAATTCTTTCAATCAACACAGCAAGGGGGTATCTCATGTCGCAACAATGCTTTACAGGTACCTAATCAAGCAGCTAAGCAGGAGGTTAGTATCACTGCTGTCTCCCTTCCCGTTCACGTCTACGGTGCATCAAGCCATCCCTACCCTGGTCTACCCAACACGGCACCTACATGACCGTGCCTCGCTCCCACAGCTCTGGGTCGCCTGGAGTGTGCCAGGTGAGGGAGCCACTGAAGCGCAGCGCCATGAGGCTCGCAGAGCTGCGAGGAGCACTCAACGCCCTCAGCGGCCACCCTGCTGCTGTGCCTGCCTCTGAGTCTCTGCTGTTGCTTCCTGCACCTGCTGCTGCACCCGCTGCTCTGCTGAGCACCCTTTTTGGTCTTTCCAGGCTTATTTGGGGAAGGGCAGGGACCGCCACGATCTGGATGGCCTCGATTGTCTTCTTCTGAAACTCCATCTGCGCACACAGCTGCTCCACACCTGTGGGGAGCGGCATGAGGAAAGAGGCAAGGGGGAGAGGAGGGGAAAGGAGACCAGAGATGAGTGGAGGCAGAGGAATGAAATTGCAAGATGCAAGACGGAACGGATTGTATGAAGTGTGGAGTGGGTGGGAACCCCCCCCTCTATCCGTCTGTGCGCTCATACACGTGAATCACCCGCATCTGAACACGTGGGCCCACTCACTCTCAAGGTTGAGGCACATGGTTGACTCGCTCGCCCAATCAGATTCTGTTCCGCCCTCTTCCTCCCCTGCGTCCCCTCCCCTGTCGCCTTCCTCCGCCTCTCCCCCATGGCTGCCACCCCAACCGTCGCTCACACTGCTGGGCCCGCAGCTGGCTGCGTCGCTGACGTCATCAATGGCCACTCGTCGGTCCCCTTCTCTTTCCACCTCCTCCGCCCTCTCCGCCGCTTTCTCCGCCGCCTCCTCCTGACGCGACGCCGCCAAGGGAGGAGCGCGACTCGCGATGCCACCCCAAGCAGCCACCAAACCGGCGCCACGTGGCATGTTACAGGTCGGGATCGAGGCGCACCTGTTCCTGGGGAACACTCTTTCCGCCTGCCCCTCCGTCCCCATGGCTGTTCGCCCTTCTGCCCGCCCGCAGAAGCTCGCGCTGCGGAACCCCATTGGCGCGGGCCGTGCGGCGTCTGCGGCGGCGCGCTTCGCGGCAAAGTCAGACTCGGAGCTCCGCCGAGCGGTTACAGTCGCGGGTTTCGTGACGATCGCGGCGGCAATAGTATCGCCGAGGCTGGACGTTAAAGGCTCTCCGCATTCCACGCTGCCTGAACTCGACACGCTGCGGCTACTGTTACCAGCGATCACAAGGCGGTTCGACTCCGGATAATCGTAGTCTCCCCCAAAGCCGCGCTCCTCCGCTGCGAATCCCCCAGCGGCGGAGTCGGCGTCGATCGGCGGGCGTGGGGAGGAGGGCGGGAGCGAGGAGAGGGATGAGCGCGGCTTAGCGCCACGGGCGGGATGGCTGGAGGGGGACGAGGCGTTGGCGGACGAGGCGTTGGGTGAGGTGACGAACCCCAAGGGCGTGTCGGGCGACGCGCATCGGGAGGTCTGCGCGGCGGCGCGAACAACCTCTGGCCGTTGAACGGGGAGGATGAACCACTGCGCTTGCTGCGGCGCCATCGCCGGCGCTGAAGCCGCTACATTGTCCGTTGATCGCGGGATCTCCTCATCGCACGGGTATGCCGCATTAGGCGGCGGCGTGTGATCAGGAGCCGTGGCTGGTCGTGCGGGCCTGCCGAAAGTGGTCCCCGGCGAGCGGCGTGGGCTGTTGGAAAGCGCGGAGAAGTCGAAGGGGCATGGAGAGCGCGGGCGGGGTAGCGACGGTCGCGGGGATCTCGCGGGGGGGCGGGAGGCGGACGGCGGTTTGGCGGTGGAGTGATGGGAGAAGAGCGGGAGGACGGGGAACGACGCTGGCGACGAGCAGGACGACGCGTCGTCGCCTGGATTGCTGGACACGTCAGATGGAATGCTAAGCGGCGGCGCATTGAACGGCTTCCTTGCGTCGAGGGCGCGAATGGTGCATTGCTGCTGCTGCGGCGGCGGCGGATCGCGCTGGCCCTTGTCGCAACCGCGGATTGGCGAGGGTTGTTGAGGCCGCGGCTTGCTTGCGAGGTCTACGGCGAGCTTCGCGCCGAAGGCGATCGGAAACAACGGTCGATCCCGCGACGGGGTCTGTGGGAAAACGACTCCTGGCCCCATTGGTACCGCTCTGCCTGCGATCGCTTTCTTGTGAGTACGCTAATGTTACACTTGTGGCGACTAAAGCTCTAACGCCAACGCACGGCAGATGCAGAGGTGTGACAGCGTGATCAGAAACTGGCTGTACAAAACCTGTCCTCTACATGAGTGGGAAGCTGCGTCCCGCGGAAGTATCCCGAGACGGAAAACTGTACGGCTGCAGTGTCCGAAGGCCAGCCTGGAGCAAGAGTGAGATTGAGATACCGTAATCTGGCAGGAAAAACAGTCTACCACAAGCCTTGGGACAGATCTAAAGTAAGGTGGTGGTTTTGGGTCGAGAAGAGCAGCAGAGAGCAGCAAGCAAGGAATGCTGCTGTCGCAAACCGAGGAAGGAAGCAGTCGGGGGATAGGGGCGGGGCAGGCAGGGGCTGGGGAAGGGAGGGATAGCGGATGTTGCTTGTTTGAGTTGCGATTGCGACCCTTCGTGTGTACCTGCTGCTCTTGTCTGTATGGATCAGGGCATGCAGCAGCCAAGTGTGGGATGGGAATTTGGGAAACGAATATGGACGCCATGGATTGGATCACTGAATGGATGAAACTGTCGCACGCAGCGCAGGAACTCGTGGTGCTGCTGGTACTGGTGCTGCAGCAGGTGGATAGAAATTGGGAGAGGTGCATCAGTTTTCATCATGACACGAGTGTTTTTGGCAGCCCTCGTTTCCTTCTAGAGACACTCTCCGTTTCAGGTTTGGCGGGGTGGCGGGTGGTTTAACCCGGGTAGATGCCGGAGTTTTTTCAGTGCCCCTTATTTATGTCCGGTCAGAGGTCGAAGGACTCTGAATCTAAAGCCGTACTGTTTCCATACCAGCTCGGGCACAAAGCACGAGTGGACCTTCTCATTTCCGACACCTTCCATTCGCATCTCTTGCTCTTAGACCATTAGAAAAATGGTGCAAAACGGTGTTCCATGCGCAGGTTGTTAGTCAGAGATCTCGGCCACGTTGAAGTTAGGACGTGGTGCAGATCGCACCGATCACACGCAATCATAGATCGCCTCCCGCGCCGCGTTTCTGACCAATGTTTTTCTTCGAAACAACGCAGAACCTCAGCCGCGCCTTCAAGGCGAGTTGTACGTCCCTTCCTGCTCAAAGTTGGCGAAACGAAGCGACCGTCCTTTTCGCGCAATTACAAGGTAGCCCCATTACGTCGCAATTGTGTTGTTTGGTCCAGATGTTCAGTCGGGAAAGTTCGAATGTCGCGAGATGTTCTGTAGCAGCGAGCGAAAACAAAAACATGTTTTGGTGGTTACTGATCGCGCACAGTCGCCAACTTACCCAATCTATCGATTGCAATCGGTCGCAATCGATTGCATCAAATTGAGGCAGTCGATCGCGATCGATCGCGATCTCGATTGCGATCGTCAGATTGCCCCCGATTGCCCAAAAGTACCCCCTGGACCTTCACGGAAATTAGGGATTGCGTAGATCGAGGCAATCAGCCTCAGATCGCCCCGATCTGCACCACGTCCACGAACGTCCTACCTGGGTTCAGGGTAAATATGTATAAAATTCCCGGACAGAAAAACACCATGATATTCGAGGAATGCCACCCTCCCCTCCACAAGGCTGCTTGCCACGTCACCATGAAATCAGTAGTGTGTCGTTTTCTGTTAGCATTTTGTCTCTAGGACCTGTTTTGGGGGCCAGTTGCAGAGTAGCCAACCTCAAATGGCGTTTTTAAGACCGCGTCGCATGCGTGTTATATGTGGCTATTCTCTCTTGGAGGAAATGCTCATGATGGCAAACTGGGAGAGAGGAACTGGCAACCACAAGTTGCTCCTAAGCTGAAGATATCTTAGAGGGGTGAAGCGCGTGGCTTGCATTGCATTGGTCCACATGCCAAAGGGAATCGTCAGTTTGCCTGTGGCCTACAACATTGTTCATTGTGTGTACAGTGCAACTACAGTGCTGCATGAAATCCATCTGATTTCACGGACACGGATCAAAACTCGAATTCCAAATCCCGGTTATAGCAAGGATACGGAGTTCCGAAGTGCACGAAGCTTTCAGTTTCAGTTTCAACAGCCTGTTATACAAGTATTCACTAACATTAGGTGCCTACAGGAGTAGAACCTGATTACCGTACTACACTTTTCTTCCACAATATCCTTTAAGAATTGCGCTGCGTTAACGCATATGTCCGTATTACCCGAATTCTGCTGGTTTGTAGACATGTTTGATCACCACATCTTGCAGTTGGGCGGTGTGCACCCTTTCCCTTGCTCATCAGCTTCTGCCTTGCCAACTTGAAATGCATTGGTTCCTCACTTGGAAGGTTGGCACATATGGGTTTGGCCCACCCATTGGGACCCCTTGCTGCTCCAGCAGTTGCAAGGCCGAGTCAACATCCGCTTGAGAGACAGATGGGGAGCGGGACAGAAGGCGGAAGGAGATCTGTGGGGGAACACGGGCCGATGAGTGTTGAGGAGGTAAATGAAAAGAAGAGTTGAGATACCTGCAGTGCCATGCGAGGAACTGGATGGCCGAAATAAGAATGTTGTTAGCAGGCGACAGGTTAAGAGCATTTCAATCTTAATTTGAGGGCCAAGGCATAAGCATGGCTAGCTTGAAGGTTGCCTGCGTACCTCGCTTGTTCTCCCCGAGCCAATGTTGGCGGGCGGCACGAAGCACGAGTAGATGAGCGCCATGCTGTACGAGTCTGACATCGCCTGGTTGCCCCACAGCCCCGCCACCCACATGTTCTCCACCACGCCCCGCCCGTTGCCGTACGTCACCTGCATCTTGCCCACCTGCCATGGTCGGGTGGTTTTGGTGGTGGTGCAGGTGGTTTGATAGTGGCAGCAGCTGTTAGGAGTGGAAAATTTGCTGCTTTAACAGCCGTTGAATGCACATACGCAGTGAAAGTATTGACGGGCGTGCAATGCAGCGCCAGAAGCTAGCTAAGACTGGGGGGAGGTCACATCCCGTGCAGGCAGGCAGGCACCAGAAGGGCGCTGCATTGCGCAGCGCATTGGGAGGGGGGGGGGGGAGTGGGGGGAGAAGGGGGTGGGCGCGGCGCTGTACCTGCGAGGCTTCCACTTGTGTGACAGCGCCAATGGCGGAGTAGGAAAAGCGCATGGCGAGCGGGTTGGAGAACATGAGCCCCGCCATCGGCCGCATTGACGCCGTTGCTGCGCCCATGCGCCCCGTTGCGCGCCCAAACCCGCTCACGTTCCGCGTGAGCCCCACAATGTCGTTCAGGTTCAGCAGCAGCTGGGGGGAGGACGGCGGGAGGAGGGAAAGAAAGGAAAGATAATAAATTGATCTGGTGAAGGGTGGCCAGTGTTTGAGGACGGAATGTACTCGAACGGGGACAATGAAGGGCAACTGTGACTTCCGCAGCCCAACACCCCCGTGCTTCCTCTCCAGGCGAGCTCACCGTCTGTTTGCCGCGCAGGTTGCCGAGCTTGTTCTCCACCTTGTTCACGCGCCGCGTGGCGATCTGCGCCGACTTCATGATGCTAACGCGCCCCTTGTTGATGGCCATCGACTCGCTCTGCAGCTGCTTCACGGCGCTCACCAGCTTCTGCTTCGTCTGCCAGATGAAGAACACGCGGTCCATCTGGCTCAGCTGCGCGTTCAGCTGCTGGATCCGCGCAAGCAGGTTGTACGCGCGTTCCGCGCGCGCGGAAACCTGCGCCATGGAATTCGCGATGTCGCCCAGCGCGACCTTGACGTCCGCCTCGACGTCGTTCGGGAGCTCCGCCCACGAGAGCGTCTGCTGCGCGTTGCTCACTTGCAGCGTCGCGGACGTGCCCTGCGCGGGGGGCCGCGCGATGGCGGCGCAGACTGAGCGCAGGTGGTCGCGCACGGCGAGCGCGGACTTGGAGAGGCCCTGGATCTGCGACTGGCGAGCGGGTGTGGTCATGCGGATGCCGCGCTTCACCACGCTGGGAAAAACGAGATGGGGGGGAAATGGAGACAGTAAGGGAGGCGGGGATAAGTTTGTCGCGCGAGGCGGGAAGAGGAACGAGGATAGAGAGAGAGATGAGAGATGGCAGAAGAAAGGCCCTGACAAAGAATGGCTATAGCGCACGAGAGACGGCGGCTTTCGGAGCAGTAACGCAGCACGATCAAAGAGGTGGGCAGAAGCGAGTGGGCGGCGTGCGGCGTGGCACCTGAATCTGTTGAGGCTGTGGTTGATGCCGCGGAACACGAAGTTGTACGTGACGCACGACATGCCCAGCTCGCCGCTCACCTCCAGCTTCGACTCCGCCGTCGACCCGATCTCGTACCACTTGCCCTGCCGCAATGCCACGAACACTCAAAATTCTCAAGGCCCAGGGGCTGGAATGCTGTAAACAGCTTGCGTGCTCGCTAACAACTTCCGTCTTAACAGAAGTGGAGAATGTAGAACAAGGTTTTGTAAAAAGGTGCTAAAGCCCCATGGGCAGAGTGCCTTGGTAACGCTGACTGAAAAGGCGGCGCAACTGTGCGAGCCTTTCGCGTGTGCACGCTTCGAGTCAGCGCGCGGTACCTGGAAGAACTCCGCCATAAAGGTGTTGCTCGTCTGCACGTCGGGGCACGCCCCCACCGTTTCCTTCATAAGCTCCTGGCAGAAGTACGTATCCCCCGCTCGCGCGCTCTGCCACGCCGCGCACCACATCGCGACGCACGCCAGCACAATAGCCAGGCGGCTGCCGCGGCCTACTCGTGAAGTGAAGGGCATGGTGGAGGCGAAGTGGTGTGACGATGACGCGTGGCTAGGCGGGACAGGATATTGCTGCTGACACGTTCTGACGCGGGTCAACACGAAGGGTTCAGTTACTGTATGTGCCGGGTAAGGCTTAACTACGCCGGTTAATTTTAGACTGAGAAAGAATTAACTACGCCGGCTTGATAAAAGACTGAGAAAACATGTGAGGCAATACGCTATCGTTATGATATATCTCACCCGCCTATCTGCATAAACCACCTCAATGCTTCTACGCAGTTGAACAAAGTGATGTGGTGCAAGGACGTCTGATCGACGACTGCGGACTTCTGAATCTGAATGCTTTGTCGGGCTAGGAGAGTCAATGTGATGGAAAGGGATCAGCAAAGCTCGGAGTCGATTTAGGGAGGTCTTTCCGAGTTGGCTAGTGTGAGAGGCGAGATTGGCGGGGCAGGAAACTGCGAGAGTGCCAAATTCCAATTGACAAGGACAACATTGAAAATTCGAAATTGTGATGAGTGCGACGCGATTGTTACATGCGCGCCTTGAAAACGCGCGTCGTGTATATTCGCGTCGCCAAGCTTCAGTGATCGTTTGGAAGCACCTGGACGCGAACATAGCAAGTACACGAAAACGGCGAGCGTGTAACTTTCATCTGCAGTAAAACAACCGCCAGATATGAGCAAGTGTTTCTCCGGAGATGGTGGTTTTTAGGCACGAAAATATATTATCTTTAGGGCTGCTTGCTTATTAATCACAAAGCCACAAGAAGTGGATACATCAGGCAGCACTAAGTCACATCCTAACAAAAATTATAGCTAAAATCAAGATAGGCTAAAAAATCTAATGCTGACTTCAATACTAGTCGTGCTTGTTAGTTCTACCACAACTATCCATGCTGGTCAGTTCCCCCACAAACTAGTGCAGGCCACTTCGTCTTGATTCGCCTTTATGAAGATGTTTGCTCCCCCTAGTACAATGCCTTGTGCTTCCAGTTGGGAAAGCCGGGCATCAATCTCCGATTGACCAACTGATGTTGTGCGTGCCAGTATGGACACCGAGAACTGCGAAAACAGCACCAATTCCAAGGAAACTGGCTTAGAAATTTACCGTACAACTGCAGTTCTTTGCCCATAGCTCTGGGAGGGCTGAAATACAGGCATCACATGACACAATGGTGGCATTCCCATTTGCTCACCTGGCCGGCATCACATGACACAATGGTGGTCATGCTGTACTCGGAGTCTGTATCCCCTTCAAGTTTGTTGATCAAATAGTTGTTACTTCGAGCGAATCCAAAGATGCTCACTGCAAACTTCCCAGGCTGTCCAGGGGCAGGAAGTCAAGACAAAATAGAGCTTAATAATTAAGGGGGTGACAGTAGAATGTGAGCTATTGTCAATCAATGATGACAGCAGTGAATCGACGTCCCTTTCCTCATCTCACCTGCTTCCGGTCTTGCACGGCTTGCATCCGCAGCTGGGTTTGGGAATTCCAGGGGAAGGGCGATGGGAACATGGTGAGGGAGGGCACGAGCACAGACGCTGCCAGCACGCGGATCACAGTCGTCGCCAGGCCCACCTTCCCTCTCACCCCCAGCTCCCAAGACGCACGTGCCAGGAACCCAGAGAGCCGCGATGTGAACCTGGTGGCGGCGCTGCTGTTAGCAGCGGGCAGCATGAGCTGCATCTGCAGCACGGCCAGGCTTCCCCTCATCCCTGCGCGCCGAGCCCTCCCAGCAGCACCAATGATGCGGTTCGCTGCGTCTGCTAGCCCTTGCTTCGTGGCGTCCAGCTCCGGGTCTTGCGGGTCGTTGAACGTGCTGGCGTGGTTGTTGTGCTGCTGCAGCGCGCCCAGCTGGCTGTAGATCGCCAGGGCCTGCTGTGACAGACTGGCGCTAGATGCAGCTAGTATGCCCGCAGCCTCAGCTGCAAGCGCAGTTCCGTTGGCGCGCTGGGAGAACGGGCTTGTGCTGTTGCTGCTGCTCGTGCTGTTGTCGCTATTGGGCGTATTCCCGCTGCTATCTGCCCCGCTACCGTTTCCATCATCCCCACCCGTCATCTGAGGCCCCAGCACAAGCATCGCCTGTAGGGAGGTGTGCGCCCTGGCGCTGTAAACGGCCGCCTCGCACACACGGCGCAGGTTGCGCGAGATGCGCCCTGCTGCCGCGGAAATGCGCCATACCTGAACGGGTGAAGCGGAGGCGGGATGGGCGAGGGGAACAGTGGTGGAGGGCATGGCTGACGTGACGGGATTGCATTTCTCGACGGCCAACTAAGCATGACCGGGAGAGCACGCATTGCACGAACGTGTTGCACGCTGGGCGGGTGGCGGAGTGGCGCACCTGATCGGCTCGGAACGGACTGACGGTGCGAAGTCCGCGACTGAGAAACCTGGTCTCGGCAAGGGGGGAGCAAGGGACGAGAGCAGGTGGCGTGAGTCGGGGGCTGGTGTTTGGGAGGCATGGCGATGATAGGAAAACGGCTGCAGATCATAGCATTCTTACAGATGTTCACGCCCTTCCGTTTCCCGCCTCACATGAAACCTGATGGGGGGATGCGCGGGTTCGAGGCTTACCCAGCGACGTTGCTGCCGTCGGTGGCGGCGGCGAGCGAGGAGTACTTGGCGGCGTTGCACGACAGGCCGCTCGCCGTGCTGAATTTGTGCAGCGCGCTGCTTCCCACCTCAAACCACGCGCCCTGCGATCACAGGGAGTGACACGCGGTTCTGGACTAAGAATGATTGGAGAACGAGGGTACATGGCTGGCTGGGAATGACTGGGAACGGAAAGGAGGCACGAGCTTGCTCACGCTGAGCAAACAACACTTTCCCTGCCACAGCTTCGTCCAACCCCATCACGCCTACCGTGAATTTCTCCAAGTCCAACGCGTCGACCGTCGATATTTTCGGGCATCGATTAGGAAATTGCGCCAAGAAGGTGTCGCAGAAAGCGGCGTGAGTTGTTGTTATCAACGCGATGAGGATGAGTGACGCCAGTACGTAGACTAGACATCTTCGTCTTAGAAGTGCCATGAAGATCAGTTCAGGTAATCGGCCAAAGACGAGGCCTTTGTCTAAGGTTGACTGGAAGGCGCGAGAGGATCCGCGACTTCGATTATGCTTACTAACTGGAGCAGGCGTTTCTCAATGATCGTGTGCATGTATGAGCCTTTTTGCGTAGTGAGGACCAAACACATGCCTTGCCTTGACCAAGAAATGCGAGAACGAGTTGGTGAGTCGAGGCGCAAAATATAAAAATGCAGCGGGAAATGCCACCCGTTCCACCCAAAGCCAATCCCTGAAGCGACCCGGCGATGCCTCTCTGAGTCTGCGACGCGAGGGGGGAGCAAGAGGACAACTCTGAATTCAGTACTCGACATTGACAGCAGCAACCACAGATTAAACTGATACACCTATATATATCCTAGTATATATCATCTTTAAACAATTTCGTCAACGTAATCCTAGTATCGAATGGTTTTATTGGACTGTATGTATACCGTCGATTCTAGGCTTGGTATACTCTCAATGTACATGTTTGGAGCTCTCGTGTACTTCACCTGATGGTTGTCGTGAAATGGTCCCACCCGCAATCCCCGGAGTTGAGGATGTACCGCCTCCGCAGCGCAGGGTAGCGCTCATGTTGAGCTTTCAGGTGTTGATACGGCACGCCATTGGCTTATCTCGATGGGTGTACGAGTCGCAGCTTCTGTTACATGTTTGCGCCGCACTCTGCGCCCCTTTCAACCAGCCCACAAATGCCTGCACCCCTTGATGCTTGACCCAACCCAAGCCAACGAATGGCTACAAGCGGGCATAGCTGCGGACAGAACGCGACGTCTCGCGCCAACTGCGCGTGTGGCTGGCAAAAATCCACTCCATCCCAGGACTGCTGGATGAAAGGCGCGACCTAAGTGGACTGACTGTTAGGTCACACAAAAAAGCATTGAGAGCCTAAGAGTGCCAGCTATTGTATAATTTCATTCGTGACGCTGCATCGCCGTCATTGCAAACAGAGCTCTCTCACCTCAGGATTAAGTGAATTTAGATTCAGATCGAGCAGTTTCTGTTCCTCTGCTAGCGACATGGGCGCAGAACCGGACTCGCAGGGCGAATCGACGCTGGACGAATCAGTCCACGTGAGCGACGCGTACGGCGACGACGAGGAGTCGCAGTACGCATCGGTCAGCAAGGTGGGTCGTCCACGTCGCATGGTGTCGCAAGACAGAGGTACTCAGCGATGGTTGTGCACGGCGATAGGACGCGATACAGCGGCGCGCTCGTAGTGCAGCGGGGATAGCGCTGCAGGCGATGGGACGCGCAGCTGCGGCTAGCGCATACGCCAGGATGCAGCTAGGCCGTGACGAGAGGGCGCGACGCTGGGGAGGAAAGAACGGGCGGAAGGAGCCAGTGTGGCTTGCGAGGGTAGAGGAGGACGACACTGCGGGAGAGGAGTGGCCATGCCGCCGATGGCAGGCCGCACGCGTCACTTGAGCTCCTTCACGCGCCTTTTTTTCTTCTTCTTCTCGCCGCTCCTCAGTCACTCCCCCCACCCGCATTTTTTTCCCGCTCCCCCTACGACTCCCGCCCCTCACCTTTCGTCCGGTCGCAGCTGTCGATCGCAGCGAGTGCGCGCTACACGACCGTGCGACAGCTCTTCACGTCGCCCGCCGACTACGGTCAGCTACGCGCCCTCCCGCATCCATCCCCTCCGTCCCTCCCGCTCGCCTCTCTCTCGCTCTCGCCTCGCGCCTTCCTGCATTCGCGCCTTCCTGCATTCGCGCCTTCCTGCATTCGCGCCTTCCGTTCGCCGTCCCCCTCACCCCAAACCTCTTCTCCCCGTAGATTTCCTCTTTTCAACCCCCCACCCCCATTCCCCCTATACCTCCTCTCCCACCATCCATGTCCCCTCCTCCCCCGCGGCCGCAGACCCGGCGCGCGAGACGCACTACGTGCTGGTGGTGCACGGCACGTTCGACTCGCCGCCCGGCCCGGGGAACCCGCCGCCGTGGTACTTCCTGGACGCGAAGCGCGCCGACAACTTCTGCCACCTCATCGCCAAGGACCTCGCCGCCACGCCGCTCGGCTTCGACGCCGTCTGGCGCCAACTGCCCGGTGCGCGGGGGGGGGGAGGCTTATGGGAGAGATGCGGGGAGCGGGGGGGAATGGAAGGATGTGCGGGGTGGGGGCAGCTGGCGGGCGAGGTGTGGGGAGATGGGCGCAGCGACGTTAGTGGTAGCCGAGCTGACCACCCGTTCACCCTCCTATTCACCTCCCGCGTCCTCGCCTGCGCTTTCCCGCCCTGCACTCTCTTCCCCCCACTCCCCCGCTCCCCTCCCCCCGTTCCCCACGCGCGCAGACTCGCACGCGGGCATGCGGCTGCGCGAGGACGTGCCGTACCCCTTCCACTGGTCGGGACACAACACGCACGAATCGCGCATCGATGGTAAGCGCGCCTGGGGAGGTGTGGGTGAGCGTGTCCGGGGTGGTGAGCGGAGTGAGCGCGCCCGGGGGGAAGGGGGAATGAGCGCGCCCAGGGAAATGGAGGGTGTGCGGCAAGGGGCGGATAACGGGCAGTGCGCTGCACAGGGCGGCACGGTCATGCTTGGTCGTCCCGCTCACCTCTTGCCCCTCACAAACCATCCCTCTTCTCCGCCAATACCGCCAATCACAACCTCCCCGAACCCATCTATTCCACCACGCGCCCCCCCACTTCCCCCCTCCCTGGCGCAGCGGGCAAGGCGTTGGCGCAGCTGATCCACGCGGTGGGGCGCGCGGACCCGTCGGCGCGCGTGCACGTGGTGGCGCACAGCCACGGGGGGAACGTGGCGCTCAAGGCCGTGTCCAAGTACATCTCCATGCTCCGCCGCGACTCCCGCGACCCTGCGCGCGCCGCCCACGACCAGATCACGGCCGCCTTCTGGGAGGCGCACGCGGAGGGGTACCGGAGCATTAAGGAGCACCAGGAGGTGAAAGTGAGCGCCGTCTGGATGCTGGCCTTTGCGCCCTTCCTGGTGGTGAAGCGGCCATGGCGGGGCGACGAGGCGCTGGGCGCCTTCCCCTACGCCTACTTCCAACGCGTTGACTCCCTGCTCGGCCTCCCCAAGTCAGTGCCGCCCCCCTGCTCCACACCCACCCCTGCTCCACACCCACCCCTGCTCCACACCCACCCCTGCTCCACACCCACCCCTGCTGCACACCCACCCCTGCTGCACACCCACCCCTGCTCCACACCCACCCCTGCTCCACACCCACCCCTGCTCCACACCCACCCCTGCTGCACACCCACCCCTGCTGCACACCCACCCCTGCTGCACACCCTCCTCACTGCCCTCTGCTCCCCTCTCTCCCACACATTTCTCCTCCGCCCACCAACTCCACGCGAGCACCATACTAATCCCACAACCCTGTACCCCACCCCCTTTTTCTCCCCCTCCCCCAGGGGGCGGCAGGCCAAGTACCTGCGCAAGAAGTGGGCGGGGAGCAGCAGCAGCAACTGCCTGGGCCGCATGGTGTTCCTGGGCACGCCCTTCTACACCAAGCACTGGGACCCGCAGGCCGCTCTCACCACACTAACCCCGCACCCTGTACCCCTTCCCTTCTCCCTCTCCCGCTCTCTCCCCGCCAGGGTGCGGCAGGCCAAGTACCTGCGCAAGAAGTGGGCGGGGAGCAGCAGCAGCAACTGCTTAGGCCGAATGGTGTTCCTGGGCACGCCCTTCTACACCAAGCACTGGGACCCGCAAGCCGCACTCACCATGGCGGGCACCATCCTGGGGCTCTCCGTGCTCGTGTTTGTCGTCATCGTGGGCGCTGTCGTGTCGGTCAAGTATGCCATCTTCCATGAAGTCAACACCGCTGAACTCACCGGCGGCGAGGTCAGCTCCATACCCCACCGCCTCCCCCCCTATTTCTGTATCTCCCACCTTCTCTGCCTCACTGCGTGCCTGCTGGCCTGCCGACTCATCTTCCTCATCCATTCTGCCTGGCACGCTATACTCCACACTCGCTCAATCCTCCCTGTCTTCGCCCTGCACCCTCTGCCCCTCTCCTCTGCACCACCTCGCCTCGCTGCTCTTCTGTGCCCGGGAACCCGCAGCTGACGTTCTGGGTGACGGTGGCGCTGGTATCAGTAGCAGTGGTGGTGCACAACACGTTGAGCAGCAAGCGCTACAGCGACGGCGAGCTATAATCCACACTCGCTCATTCCTCCCTGTCCTCGCCCTGCGCCCTCTCCCCTCTCCTCTGCTTTGCCGCGCCTCCCTGCTCACCTGTTCATGTGCGTCCACAGCTGACGTTCTGGGTGACAGTAGCACTGGTATCAGTGGCAGTGGTGGTGTACAACACGTTGAGCAGCAAGCGCTACAGCGATGGCAACGTGTACTTCACGGAGAAGAAGGCGTGGAGCCCCGCCATGAGCGCCCTCGTGCTCAACGCCGGCAAGCTTGACGAGGCCGCCCTCGCACTCTCCACGGAGCCGCTCGTTCGTGCATACCTCATGCCACAAGTCAAGGTGCGTGCACTCATTCTTCGTAGTGGCCTCACCGGAGAAGAAGGCGTGGAGCCCCGCCATGAGCGCCCTCGTGCTCAACGCCGGGAAGCTTGACGAGGCCGCCCTCGCACTCTCCACGGAGCCGCTCGTGCGCGCCTACCTCATGCCGCAGGTCAAGGTGCGCGCGCTCATGCTTCCAACTTTTTTCGCTCGTCTCGCTCATCTCCTGCCCCACCTCTTCACTCCACCACTTTCCAATCCCCCCCGCACTCCCCTCCACGCATTCCCCTCAATCCCTCGTCCCTCAATCCCCCCTACCCCGTGCCCCAGACCATGCTGACCCCCGACCCATGGCGCATGCTGCGACCGTTCCCCGCCAAGACATGGCTTGTGTCCCTGGCGAACCTGTACAACAACTGCTGGGTGGCGCTGTGGACGCTGGTGCTGGCGGTGCCGTACGTGGTGCTGTGGCTGCTCAACTTCTTCCTCGTGCCCTACTTCTGCAACCAGCTGCTGCGCCTCTTCATCACCCTCGGCTTCGGCCTGCAGAAGGTACGCCCCACCTGCCCCGTGCGCTCTGCCCTGCCCCGCCGCCATGTGGACACAGACAGACCAGCTTAAGGGGTGAGGGCAGTGACTGCAAACTTGCACTTGCTCTGTGCCATTTCACTTCTCTCCGCCACCTCACTATCACTTCCTGCTCCCCCCTGCATGTGCGCTGCTGTGCTGCTGCGCTGTGGGGCATGGCATGGCATGGCATGGCATGGCATGGCATGGCATGGGAGCACAGAACGAGTTGGACTGTGCGCAGGTGTACGTGGAGGAGTGGCTGCGCCTTCCCCCAGCAACGCACAGCATAGCGCATTGGAACGTGCAGAAGATCCTCACAGCCGCCACGCTCGACCAGCTCAAGGACCTCCGCAAGCGATGTCAGTCCCCACCCTCGCCCCTTTCCTCCCACTCGTGCCCAACCCCCATGTTCCCTGCCCTTCCCCCGCCCCTCCTAGCACGCCCTCTGCTCTGACCTCTCCTTTCCCTGCCCTCACCCTTGTGCCGCTGACCTTGTCGCGCTCCATCCATCTCCTCGCCCTGCCTTGCTGCCCCTCCCCGTGCACCCTGCACGCGCCCTCACCCTTCTCTCCTCCGTCTTCTCCCCGCCCTCCTCTTTTCCCCTCCCCCCTTTCTGTATGGCTGCAGCGGTGATACCAGGCGAGGTGGCAGCGACAGAGGAGGCGTTGATGGAGGCGCACACACAGCTCGTGGCCCCCACGCCATACCTTGCTGTCCCTCCTGCATGTGCCCTCACCCTCTCTCCCCCCATGGCCTCCCGTCCCCCCGGTCTGCATGGCCGCAGCGGTGATACCAGGCGAGGTGGCGGCAACGGAGGAGGCGTTGATGGAGGCGCACACACAGCTCGTGGATCCCCACGCCATTGCTCAGCGCTGGCGCTTCCTCTGGGTGCGTCGCCCCCACTGTGCATGCATGCTCCCGCCCTGCATGTGTGTGCGTTACTGTTTCATGTGTTGTGCTCAAGCGTGCACAGAAGAATGTGGGAGTGGATGTGCTTGCATGCTCGCTGCATTCAACTCACCACTCTCACGGCTGATGCCTGTGTGTGTGGCGTATGTGGCATGTGCCATGCATGCATGCAGGACGATGTGGAGTTGGAGAGGAAGGCGGAGGAGTCAACCACGCTGGCGCTGCTCAAGAACCAGGTGGCCTTCATGGCGCACAACCCCCGCATCTCCAGGTGCCAATCATCCCCTGCACCTCTGCACACATGGCTTTTGTCCACCACCCGCACGCACACGCCCATGCCACATCCCCACCGCCATCTCACCCATTGCTCTCTTGTTCCCCGCCCCCCTTCCTCCCTCTCCCCTCCCCCCCTCTCCCCCTCTCCCCGCGGTGCAGAGTGGCGTTTGAGCGCGAGTTGAAGGTGGTGTGTGTGACCCTGGAGGAGAGGTACAAGGACATGACGGGCAACGTGGAGCTGTCCCACGGCAGCTACTTCCGCAACCACGTGGTCATCGCCGTCATCGCACACTTCCTGGCGCACGGAGAGGTGCCCAGCTGGGCGCCACAGCTGGGCGAGATGACCCCGCCCGCTCACAAGCCCGCCAAGAAGGGCCCCATGTCGCGCCTCTTCAGCCGCCGCATCACACCCACCCCTGACGACCTCGACACCACCCCCTCACAATAACGCCTACCACTACCTACCCTCCCACAATGGCAGCAACGCACTGCAGGGGCATACCTACCTCTGCAGCCGCCGCATCACGCCCACCACTGATGAGCTCACAGCACCCCCTCGCAATGACGCCGGCACATGTAGCGGCTGTAAGCAAGCAGCCCTCCCTCTCACCCCATACAGAACGGAAGCAGCTGCCATAGTGGCAGCAGTGGAGCACAAGGGCTGGGCTGGGTCCTCCCAAGTGTTTTTGGTGTGCTTGACACCATGCTCTCAGCTCGGGCCAACACATGGCTGACTGTTGACTGGGCACCCGGTTACTCTCAAGTGCGCCGGTGTCTTAACAATGCAGGGCTTATTAGGCCACACTAGCCTGGTGTTGTACGTATATGTATGTATATCCATGTTAAAATAACCGCAAGGCTGAAGCCATTTGCGTTGCTGTACCCACAAAAGGAAGGATGACAAGACACGAAGGCAATGAGTGGCCCCTTGGCTGGATAACTACCTGCATGCAAGCTCATGGTTAACAAGAAACACAAGTACCGTACAAGCCCTATGCTGTGCACAAGAATGAGGCACACTAATTCTCAGCAGGCAAGGCAAGGCATGGGGTGCCATGGTTTGCAACTACTCCCCTGGCATACCCATACGCCATGCCCCTGTCGTATCCCTGCTTCAGCTTCACCCACAGCCTCAGCATAAGTCGGACCCAGCCGTGCCTACCACAGCACTAGTGAGTGCGCCGCTGCTGTCAGCTGGCGGCCGCAGCGGAGGTCGCGGCATTGGGGGAGGTGGAGAAGGAGGAGGAGGGGGAGGCAGAGGAGGAGGGGGAGGAGGAGGAGGAGGGGGAGACACCGAACTGGGAGTGGAAGTCGGCGTCGGTGAGTCCCACGATGTGCTGGATGCACACGGCGTGCGACCCAAACGTCTGCAGGATCTCGCTGTGCGAGCGCCCGAACTTGCGCAGGCGGCGCTCGTTGTCCGTCGTGATCACCTCGTCGTGCGCGCGGATCGCGTACCCCGCCGCCAGCAGCACGGCGCAGCGCGGGCGGATGCGCGAGTCGAGCGAGTAGCCGAGGTAGGCGGGGAAGTTGAGCACTTCGAAGCGGTCGAGTCCCAGCTCTTCGAGGAAGCGGAACTTGGGCAGCAGCACCTTCTCCCAGCTGAGCGTCAGCGCCTGCGGGAACGCGTTCACCAGCTTGTCCGTCGCCGCGGGGTCAAGGAACATCTCGAGGCGCGAGTACTGCCGCATGAGGCGCTTCGTGTCGATGGTGAGCAGGCCCGGCGCGACTTTAAAGACGTTGGAGAGGCGGTGCTTGTGGAAGATGGAGGCGAGGTACTGGATGCGCTGCACGATGGCGTCGCGCGACATGAGCAGCACCAGCGGTTTCTTCAGCAGCACGTCCGCCACCTGCTCGGGCGCGATGAACTGCTTCAGCACCTCCACCGTCTCCGTGATCTGCGCCTGCGACAGTCCCAGCACGCGCGGCTGGCGCTCGATCATGCGGTAGATGTCGCGGCCCTCGCCCACGATGTACTGCAGCTTGGCGAGCGATGGCGTGATGTCGCCCTCGCTGAGCTCCATGATGCGCGGGAAGCGCAGCAGCACGCGGTGCACCTTGTCGCGCTCCACGCCCAGCGACTCGAGGTACGCCACCATGTCGTAGATGCGCTGCACCGGGCTGTGCAGCCAGCGCGGCTCGCGCACGAGCGAGGAGGCGACCTCGCCGAGCGAGGAGCCGAGGTCGAGCAGCACGCGCAGGCGCGCGAGGATGTCCACCACGCTCAGCTGCAGCACGTCCGGGTCGCTCGATATCGCCTGCGCCACCTGCTGCTTGCCCAGCCCCAGCGCCAGCAGCAGCCGCACCACCTTCGTCTCCCGCGAGTCGCATTTCCTATCGAGCATGGCTACGGTGTCGTCGACGAGCCCCACGCTGATGGACCGCAGCTGCGGCCATTCTGCGTCCACCGACTCCTGATGCTCCGGCGATTCCTTATCTTCCGATGCATTTTCTAACGATGCGCCGCTGTCCGACGCGCGGGGAATAAATGTTCGTGACGCCGACGAGTGAAGGCTAAGCCTTTGCAGGCCACGCTCTATCAGCGAAACCCCGGCCACTCGCGAGCCTTGTGACTGACCGAAAGACGCAGTTACTGGAGAAATTTCTTGCAATAATGACGAGCCTACACTTGCTATTGAGTGAGCCAAGTGCGCTTCCGCAGCCATGGCTCCTCCTAGCAGTCAGACCAAGGACGGTTCTAGGTCTTGTTACCCTAGAAACGAGAGGGCGAGAGAGCTAGTGGGAGTGTAGGTTTAGGGAGGAGCGGAGTGGTGAAGGGGAGGAGGGAGATGGAGGGAGGTTCTCAGGGGAGCCTGCTTTCAAATCTGTCTACAAACGAGGGATTTCGATTTGAAGTTTCAAAAATACGACGCTTCCACAATACAGAAATTCGAAAACAAGCGATTTTATGCACAATATTGTGAACAAAAGCAGCCTCTGCTGATGTGGCTGACGACGTTTCCGAGGCTCCACGTGGAGTCCCATCGGATTTGGCAATCCCCAAAAATATTGCGCTGAGCGCGGCAACCCGCCAGGCAAGCCAAGCGCATTTCTCTTCAAAATCCAACCATCTTCTCAAGGCCAGAGAGGGTAACAAGCAAATCGTGAATCCTGATTCACAAAATTGCCGCAGCCCAGAAGCTAAAGAGCCAGTGAGCGACGCACTAGCACGGATCCCTCATCACCATCACGTCGCTCACAATCAGCTAGTAAGCAACGGCTGGTTCCGCGCAACGAGAATCCCTCCTTAGAACTGCAGCGTAAAACTTGCCACAATGCAGAGTGTGACGGCGCTCGATGCGACGCGTCAAATTCCACGACTTGGCTTGGCGCAGCCGCTATCCAGACAACCATGTCGAGCGGATCGCGTGAGAATGCTCGTCAGTAGAGTGCCAGCTGGGCTTAAGGCCGCAGGAACGGGGGATCATCGAGTCGCGATGGCGATGCCGGCCGCGCATGCCTCCGCTGCGCTGGCTCTCCTCCAACCAGGTGAGTGTCCTCGTTCCCCGTCGCTCTGATTTCCTGCGAACCAACCAGACGGCTCATCTCTTCGTCGTCTCGTATGGCCCCTCGTTTCCCGCCTCTCTCGATCCCTCGCTTGGTTCTGGTTCGTCGCAGCCCCGCCTTCTGCTTAAAATCTTATCTGATGCCGGATCCCGCGTGCCCTACGGCTGCTGCGCTGCAGACATGGCTCGAGCGGCGGAGGACGTGTCGTTGCCGCTAGCATTGCTCAACCCGACGTATGACATGGTGAGTGCGCAGGCCGCTGCCGTGGGGTGCATATCTATCACAGTCTCTCGTCCTTGCTCTAGATCGCGGGCCGGTGCGTCTGCTTTCGTTTGTAGGACCGGAAATAGCCCTTCGTACGCATGACCGGCGCCCCTCCCGTGTCCCCCCGTGCGCGGCGCGGCGGTGCAGGTGGCGGAGGCGGCGCCGCTGGAGTTCAGCGTGCTGTTTCTCTACCTGGGTGGGCTGCTGGCGCTGCTGGGCTTCGGCACGTTCCTCGTCGTGCGGCAGGTGCTCGTGAAGCGCGAACTCGAAAACGCCGCCAAGGAACTGCAGGTGAGGCGACGCCGGGAGATGCGCGTGAGGAAGAAGGGGGGGCAGAGAGTATGGGACGAGGCAAGGCTAGAATGCCATTCACAGGCGAAGGGAATGAGCCGAACATTAATGGGGGGGAAGGACGAGCGAGTCGGGGGATGGAACATGGCAGCAAGGGAACTTTGGGGTTAGAGAACAACATGAAACCGCCACATCACAGGAATCAAAGGCCTTGGAGTCGAACCTCTCGACATGATCCCTATCCTCCCCCTCCCGTGTGTGGCATGGGTGCGGCAGGATCGCGTGCGGTCGGGCGAGGCGTCGAGCGAGGAGTACTTCGAGCTGGGCGCCATCATGCTGCGCAAGAAGTTCTTCGTGGTCGCCAACAAGTACCTCGAACTCGCCATCGCCAAGTGGGAGGGCGACGAACAGGAACTCGCGCAGGTGGGGGGGGGTGGGGGGTTGAGTTGGGGGGAGAGGGGAATGGGGCGGGAGTTGGGAGCATGGATGGCGTACCTGATGAGAATGCGAGCATGTCGTGGCACGTCTACAAGCATGGGCATGCAGGCTGATGGATGCACGTACGCAAACACCTGCATGCACACACACGCATGCACATGCTCATGCAAGCATGCGCGCACGCACACACACACACACACACACACCATGCCCACTTTCTTCCCCCCTTCCCCACACATTATTTACGAAGTGATTGATGGAAAGCACATGCACATGAACATACCCCCCTGCACACAGCAGCCCCACTGACCGTTCAACCCACCCTCCCACCGATGCACCCCAAATTCACCTCACTACCTAAACCTCGTGCTTCAAGGCGCGCCTGTCTGCTCTACTCTTCAAATGCTGCGCGCCTTGCCCACCCCCCTGCTGCCCTGCCTCCACTCCCTGCTGCCCTGCCCCCGCCCTCCCCCCCTTGCCCTGTGGCATGTGGTGGGAGCAGGTGTACAACGCGCTGGGGTTCAGCTATTTCAGCGAGGAGAAGCTGAAGGAGGCGGTGAAGGCGTATGAGAAGGCCGTCAGCCTGCAGCCTGCGTACGTGACGGGGTGGAACAACCTGGGGGACGCACTGGAGAGGCAGAAGGAGTGGGCGCGCGCTCTCAAGGCGTACGACACAGCACTGCTCTACGACCCGTCCAACCGCATTGCTGTCGGCCGCGCCAAGGACCTCCGGCAGCGCGTCGAGCGGCTACGCTACTGATGCCCTGCCTAGTCCTCTGCTGCTCTCTGCATCATGTGTTTTCGAATAAAGCACTAGTTTTACCAAAAGGAGATGTGAAATTGGAAGTGCCTTTCAAAGCAAACCCTGCCTTGCTGCATGCAGTGCTTCTTCTTTACTAGGGAGTGCCAACTTCCTGCTTCTTGTTGTGAGCTTAGAGATCCTGTTGGCTTCAATCTGATTCTCTTTCAATATTATTATCCAAAACCTCTGAACAGGTTGGGAGGTGCAAAAATCCCCACGCAATCCCAAAGTGATGCCAACCCTCAATGCCAAAACTGGCTGTGACACCCTCCCACCTTACCCAACTGTCCCATCTCCTCCCTCCATCGATTCCTCAGGGTACGTTTCTATCCCGTGTCAGACATCAGGTCAAAGCTTCGGAAGACACAAAGTGACTCGGTTTGTGTCTTCCGAACCTAAATTTGCCAGCATTCCGAGTCCCTTTGGGTCTTCCCAACCTCAACTTCGTGTCTGGCTTCGTGTCTGACACGGGATAGAAACGTACCCTCACTCAGGTCCTCCACAGATATTTTCTTACACAGGCTGATCTATCAGCCCACCCCTCTGGATGTGGCATGAGCCCAACCGTAGATTTGTAGATGGAACGTGAAAATGTGTTGGGTAATTATCGGAAGCCACCCGTTCGACTGTCACGGCTGGGGAACCGAATGAAATACCTCAGCGGACAAGCGAGTCCGCCCGGGGGAGCTCGCTGCCCGCGGGCAAAAAAAATAAACCCATTCGGGCATGCATCCGGTCAGGGAGGCATCAACCCTAAACACGGGGAGGCATGGATTTAGGGTTGATGCCTCCCTCGGATGGCATGCCATCCGATAGGGTTTTAGTTTTTTTCATCGAGACCATGTCAACCGATGAAGCAACCGAGCTGTTTATTCGGGCCTTGGCCGAATTCATTGTCACGATTGATCTAGTGGTTTGCAATGAGGGCCGTGTTGCACAGTGTGCACGCGTATGGACAGTGGTGAATTTAAATACCACCATACACCGCGTGTTCAATTATTTTGGGATACTACCGTAATTGGTATTTTTTTTGGAGGGTGTTGTTGATCAGTACGTTCAAGAAAAAGAGCAAAAAATGTCAAATGTTGTTATTGGTTGTAGGCTGCAGTGAGTAGCACTCTAAGGAGTACAACACTCTTAGGGTTTCTATTTGTATGCCTTGCTCTCCTAAGTCAAACATTCCGTTGCATTCACTTTCTGAGATGGTATCACGAGTAGGTTTAGAATCCTTGCCTAGCCTAGCCTACCTCGCGCCCTCCACGCCCTAGAGCGTCTCCGCGCCTTACGCGCCCTCCGTCACGTGCCCTAGCACCCTCCGCGCCCTTGCGCCCTCCGCGCTCTAGAGCGCCTCCGTGCCTTACGCGCCCTCCTCCACGCGCCCTAGCGCCCTCCGCGCCCTAGCCTTGAGTAACGCGGCCTCCGCGGCCTCCGCGCCCTAGCCTCGAGTAACGCGGCCTCCGCGCCCTCCGCGCCATACGCGCCCTCCGTAACGCGCCCTCCGCGCCCTCCGTAACGCGCCATCCGCGCCTCCGCGCCTAGCCCTTCCCTACGCGCCCTCCACGCCCTCCGTATCGCGCCTCCGCCCCAGCCCGTCGCGTAACCCGTGGCCCCTGCCCCAGCCCGTCGCGTCGCCCGTGCGCCCTGCCCTAACCCGTCGCGTAGCCCGTGCGCCCTGCCCTAGCCCGTCGCGTAGCCCGTGCGCCCTGCCCCAGCCCGTCACGTCGCCCATGCGCCCTGCCCCAGCCCGTAACGTCGCCCGTGCGCACTGCCCCTAGCCCGTGCGCGCCCGAGCGCCCTGCCCCTAGCCCGCCGCGTCGCCCCGCCCCGCAGGTAGCGCGCCCCCCGCAGAAATCGTGCCCCGCAAGGAGCGCGCCCCGCGGGTAGCGCGCCCCGCAGGCAGCGCGCCGCGCGGGTAGCGCGCCCCGCGGGTAGCGCCCTCCGCAGGCAGCACGCCCCGCGGGTAGCGCGCCCCGCAGCGCTTTAGCGCCAGAAATAAAAATTAATTAATTAAACCCTAAAAAAAAAAAAAAAAAAAAAAAAGGGGGTTCAGGGTGGGGGGCTGCAACTGTCGCCCGCGTTCCTGCTTGCCGGACGACCTGCACAGTTCCCTACCTCCCGCAGCCGTCAGTACTGCAGCCCCTTTGTCGCACGTACTTTCCACTTCCACTGGCTCCACTAGCGGCAGCCGACAGCCGCACTTACAGTCTCTAGCTCCAGCCGTTCTCACTCCAGCCGTTCTAGCTCCAGCCACTCCTAGCTCCAGCCGTGCCTAGCTCCAGCCGTTCTCGCTCCAGCCGTTCTCGCTCCAGCCGTTCTAGCTCCAGCCGTTTCAGCTCTAGCCGTTCCAGCACCGGTCGTTCCTAGCCTAGTTTCACCTCGCGCTCCTAGTTGTTCTCGTGGCCGTCCCTAGCTCCTGCCGCTCCTAGCCTTTATCATGGCGTCCACTAGGGTTCTCCAGCAGCAGGGACAGCAGCAGCGGCAGTTTCAGCAGTGGCACCCGCAGCAGCAGTGGCGCCCTCAGCAGCAACTCTGCCCTCAGCAGCCGTGGCGGCCTGGCGGTTCGGGTAGCGTTGGCTGCAGCAGCGGCCCAGCCGGCTTGGGGGCTCGTCGCGGTGGCCGGGACGTCGGCCCCTGCCAGTACCGGATCCTGACCGGCCCTGGTGCTGGCACTACCTGCTGGCGGCCTGACCACTCTGCACCGCGCTGCTACAGTCGCCTCGACGACCTATACCGTGAGCGTTTTGGGCCTGAGTCGGCTCCCCCGATCTGGCCCGGTTTGTTTCGTAGTGGTTACCCTGTGTTTGATTTGTCTATGGATGCTGTTTATTCTGTCACGTACGGATCTCTTGGCTTGCGTGTACCTAGCTTAGGAGCTTTGCCTGTTGCTAGTGTAGGTACTTGCGCTTTTAGTGTAGGTGCTTGTGTAGTCACTAGCCCAGCCGTGACGACTGCTGCTGCGTCGCTCTCCTTCACGCTGGACTCCGGCGCGTCCCAGTGCTTCTTTCGCGACCACACCACTGTCACACCTCTTTCGGCTCCAGTCCCAGTTGCCCTGGCTGATCCTACTTCAGGACCAGCAGTTGCTCGCAGCTCGACCACTCTCCCGTGCCCAGCTGTCCCCTCTGGTTTCCTCACTGGTCTCTACATCCCCTCGTTCTCTCGGAACTTGGTGGGTGTTGGATACCTTCAGGACCGGGGGATCACAGTCACTTTTCCTGCGCACGGGAGGACTGCGATCTGTACAGACTCTTCCACCGGGGCAGTTCTTGCCACGTTCACCAGAGAGCCCCACTCAGGTCTCTTCGTCCTGCACACTCCGCCCCCGCAGGTAGCTGCGTCTGGTCAGGTTGCTTCGTCCCCCCCGGTAGCAGAGTCCGGCCAGGTTACTGCGTCCCCACCGGTTGCTGTGTCCGGTCAGGTTGCTGTGTCCGGTCAGGTTGCTGTGTCCGGTCTAGTTGCTGCGTCTTGCTCGTGCCGGTCTTTCACCCACCGGACCGTCTTGTGGCACCACCGTCTTGGCCACGCGTCGATCCCCCGCCTCCGCACTATGGCTAGTCACCGTCTTGTCTCAGGTCTCCCTCACGTCTTCCGTCGCTCCCTCCCTCGCCTGCGCCGTCGTGCACTCCTTGCGTCGCCGGCCGTCTTCGTGCCACTCCGCACTCCTCCTCCCTTCGTCCGGCCACTGCTCCCTTCCAGACACTCCACTTGGATGTCTGGGGCCCTGCACCTACGCAGGGACCTGAGAGGGAGCGCTACTTTTTGGTGGTCGTCGACGACTTCTCCAGGTACACCACGGTGTTTCCTCTCGCGAAGAAGTCCGAGGTGACTTCTACGCTGATCCGGTAGCTTCTAGCCACTGAGGGCACTCGTGGCCGTCGTGTCTCCTGTCTCCACTCTGACCGTGGGGGTGAGTTTCGCTCAGGCATTCTTGCCGGATTCTGTGGCGAGCAGGGCATTGTACAGTCCTGGACGCTGCCGGAGTCCCCACAGCAGAATGGGGTTGCTGAGCGCCGCATTGGCTTGGTCATGGACATCGCCCGCACGTCCAAGATTCATGCCCGTGCGCCCCATTTTCTGTGGCCCTACGCGGTTCGCTACGCCGCTCACCAGCTGAACCTCCAGCCGCGCGTCTCGCGGCCAGAGGCTTCACCGACCAGTCTTTGGACCGGGTCCCCTGGTGTTGGGTCAGCTTTTCGTGTATGGGGCTGCCTTGCGCTTGTCTGCGACACCTCTGCGGACAAGCTCTCGGCTCGCGCCGTCCCCTGTGTCTTCCTTGGTTTCCCGGTAGCCTCGGCCGACTGGTCCTTTTACCACCCGCCCCTCCACCAGTTCCTAGACTCCCGTGACGTCCGGTTCGACGAGTCAGTGTCCTACTACACCAGGTACCCCTGTCGAGGTCTCCCGGTTCCCCTTCCCCCCCTTTTCCTCGCACCCTCTCTTCCCCCTGCTCCCGCTCCTCCGGTACCCCCACCCCCCCCTGGTCCTGCCCCGTCAGGTGTGTCTCACGCTACCCCTCTACCCTCGGTCGCGCGTCAGGTAGCGGCTCCCTCCCCGCAGTCCTCCTCACAGTCCCCTCAGCAGCCTTCGGTACTTCCGCGACAGGCTACTGTGGACTCGGTTGGTTTTGGAGCTGGAGGTGCAGCCACTGGCGGTACTCGGTCCGGGGGTGCTCGTTTGAGGGGTGCTGGAGTTGGAGGTGCTGGCGCAGGTGGCGCTAGCCCTGGGGGTGCTGGAGCTGGAGGTCCTGGCACTGGAGGTGCTAGTCCTGGGGGTGCTGGAGCTGGAGGTGCTGGCACAGGTGGCGCTAGCTCTGGGGGTGCTGGAGCTGGAGGTGCTGGCACTGGAGGTGCTAGTTCTGGGGGTGCTGGAGTTGGAGGTCCTGGCACTGGCGATAATAGTTATGGGGGTGCTGGAGCTGGAGGTGCTGGCACAGGAGGTGCTGGTTCTGGGGGTGCTGG